AATCAACAGAGGCAGGTTCGACAGGGACCGTTAAGAACTCATCATGCAGTGAATTAAAAAAAAAAAGTTCCTCTTGACTAGCTACCACCCGTGCCACTTATACCAACTTTGATTCACTGACTTTTACTTTTTGCTGATTTGTATATTTTTTTTGTGAGATTACTTGATTTGCAGTGTGCTCCGATGCCTCTGCTTGTGCTTTACAAATTGCACGTTTTTGCCCTCAGTGATTGACAGTGTGTGGCAGTTTACTGCGCAAGTAAACAATGACTGCAAGTATGGCAGTTCTTTTTTCATCTCTTTAAAAAAAAAAAAACATATTCTAATATGTAGTGATAGTTGTAATGTTTTCAAATGCTTTGCCAATTTCATTGCAATGGTATCGCCATACCTAGTGGGAGTCTTGTGGTGTGACTATGCCTGTCACTTCAAAGGCACAGTCGGTATTAGCTGCACACCTTGGATTTGTGGGAAATCTTTGTTCTTCTTAGGGTGAGTGGGTTGTCAGTTGCCTACTAGCTTTTCCCATTGTTTTCAGATTCAAATTGGTCCTGCAGCTCCCCTTTAAAAAAAAAAAAAAAAAAATCCTTTCATTGCATGCCTTTCATTGCAGTGGATTCACCCTCCTGGGCTGAGTCTTGAGGTGTGACAATGCCTGCTATCTTAACAGACACAGTTAGTATTGTCTGATAGGAAACTGTTGTTGACCCAATTGATGACCCATTCCCCAGTCTTAAATATCTGTCATTCAGCATGTAAAAAAAAAAACAGTTCCCTATCAGCTTATACCAACTACATGTGTGTAGGTAACAGGCAAAGTCACACCGCAAAACTCAGCCAGAAAGGGCAAATCCAGGAATAACAGGAATTTTAAAACCTGGAGTTCTGCCTATCAAGAGGAGGCCCAGTTCACACTGAAGCTCCCCTATTATTTATTATTCAGTATAATTCCACTTGGGCTTTATATTAACCCCTTAAGACAACTTCACACACAATCACACTTAACTAACCTCCCATACAATCACACTCAGCCAACTCCACACACAATCACACTTAACCAATCTCCCACACAATCACACTCAGAAAACTCCACACACAATCTCACTTAGCCAACACCAGACACAATAGCACTCATTCAGCCCTCACACAACAATCACATTCAACAAGCCCCACACTCACAATCAGCTAACTTCATACATATATATCACACTTAAACAGTCACACTCAGCCACCCCACCATAATCATCCCGCTTGGGTATATTCATCTGGGGACATTTTTTAATTCTTGCACTAGGGCCCAATTGATCCCTTGTAGTTTGCACATAAGCAGCTTTTCTTTTTATAATGTAATTATCAACAACAACAACAACAAAAAACACCCCAAGCACATAAAGCTCTACAGCTTGCTGAAATTGTTTATGCGTATGGAGTGAATATCCCGGGTAACGGCTGCCGGCTGAAACGCGCATCGGGTGGTGCAGACTGACGTGGCTCCTGGGCCAGAAGGCTTTTAGACTTAACTAAAACTCTTAGATTAAATGTAAAATCATCCTAGCCTCTGGTTCAGCAGGGATTAGCTTATTTTTACTCCGTTTGGTCATCTCCTATTTTTATACACTTTAGTGTAAGGTGAGAGTTGTGTGGGGGGAATTATCCCACTCAAATCATTAGCTGCTCAATACTGCAACTTCGGGCTCACAACATGGAGGGAACAAGTGTGTGTTTAGTCATTCAGTCATGTCCGACTCACCGTGACCATATGGACCATAGCATACATCTATCAGTCACTGCCCCTCTGAGTTCCACAAACTTCATGTTCATGGCTTCAGTGACCTCATCTATCCATCTCCGTCTCTGTCATCCCATTCTTTGTGTGCTTTTAATCTTTCGCAGCATCAGAGTCTTCTCTAGAGAAGCCTGCCTCCTCATTATATAGGCAAAATATTTGAGCTTCAGCCTCATAGCTTCCAGTGAACAGTTTGTCTTGATTTCCTGTAGTATGGATTTATTGTATCTTCTTGCAATCCAAGGGATTCTAAGCAGTTTTCGCCAACACCACAGTTCAAAGACATCAATTCTACGACGCACAGCCTTCTTTATAGTCCAACTCTCACATCCGGCTGTAAAATATGTAGGGACGAGTAATTTGGCAAATTCTTAGACTGTAATAGGGACCAGCCGGCACTTGCAACCTCCCTGCTGCCTAGAACTTATGAAACTATATGCATATAGATTTATGGGATCCCCATACCCAATAAAACCTTAGAACTCACGTTTTATAAAGCTTACTGCTCAGGCAGAAATCTAATCACCAGGTAACAGCTTCTATAGTGAATCATTTAGCGATATCTGGTGAGTCACTGAGCATTTTTGTTATTAGATAGTGCAACTTTTTGGAGATTCTACAAACAGTTAAAAAATTTCTCCGATTTACACAGTATCTAAGTTAGGTGTATCAATTAGTTTTTTTGTTCTTTGTTTTATATTCTATGTTGAGTATTATTATTATTATTACTAATAATATACTCCCCCCCTTTTTGTTGTTGTTTTTTGTTCTGTATTTCAGTATATACTCTCTTGTATTGTGCATCATTGTTTTAGAACCCTTAGACTAGGGAATAGTGATGTCCCGAACAGTTCGCCACGAACGGTTTGCCGCGGACTCATCATTGAGTAAACTTTGACCCTGTACCTCACAGTCAGCAGACACATTCCAGCCAATCAGCAGCAGACCCTCCCTCCTAGACCCTCCCACCTCCTGGACAGCATCCATTTTACATTCATTGTGAAGCTGCATTCTTAGTGAGCTGTCATTCGGTGAACCGTTCGGGACATCACTACTAGAGAATGATAAACAATTTTTAATTTTAAGAAATAAAAGTTAATTTTAATTGATGTTTCACCACCATCCTCTACCTATTTAAATGCGTCTGGAGTCTGTCACAGTTTATAAAAGTGCCAATTTCAATAGAAATTAGCACTTTGATAGTTGCGGGAAGAGACAAGAGAACTACAGCTTTTTAGATTTCCACCAATGAGAAAAACAAACCCTGAAATAAATGCATGCATGTTTTCATTTTGGGTATATATACTAAATAGTGATTTTTTTTTTTTTTTGCAATGGAGTGTTAATGTACCATTTCAGTTGAATTATTTTTGGAGGATTTTTGGGAGTGTGGGTGCAGGTTTACAAACCAAACCCACTGTTTGTAAGCAGAGAAATGCTACATCTTGATGATATGATCATTTGTTTTAACAAAAATAATAATAATGAAAACCAAAATGTAACCTGAAACACAACTCTGTTTTTATTATATTATTATTATTATTATTACTACTACTGCCATTTATCAAGTGCCAACAAATTTCTCATCCCTGTAGAATTGGGAAAAAACAGTACTATATGCACAGACAAATACAGAAGGGTAAAGAGGGTCCTGCCCTTTAAGTTGAGATCTATCCAACCAAGTACTTTTATACACAGTACTTAAAGGGTTACTCCAACCACCAAAACCACTGCAGTGCTTTCAATTAGTCTTAGTGGTAGTAGTATGTATGCACAGTTTCTCAGCTTGAGTTATTTTTAATTGTGTGCTGGTAAACTTCATGATGGGCCCTATAGGGCATTTATCATGTAAATATACATATAGTTTTATCAAGGTTAGGGTAATGTTTTAATTAGCTAGCCTTTGAGGTTACAATCTAAAGATTCAAATGAGTTGAGACAAGAAGTAGCAGAGGGATTTAAAGATGGTCAGGGAGAATTAAAGATTAATTGCAGCCACTGGTGAGATGTAAATGGAATGTGGAGATAACTGAGTGAGATGTCAAGCAGCTGCAGGAGCATGCTACAAAGTAAGCTGGATAGATGGTGGGCAGGTGTGTAGTGTTTAGTGATCATTACATTGTGTTCCCCTTTAATTGGCTAGTTAATTTGGGTAGAATAAAAGAGGAGAAGTATCTTCCAAGCTTTAGTCAATACCTGAAAGTTGGCTGGGTGAGGTGGACATTATGTTGAATGCAAGCTGCTGGGAATGATACACTTTGCCTATACTGACTCAAGGCTTAAGCTACAGATGACTGGATGTCCAGTCTGTTTAAAACTGGCTAACTTAGAGCATGTCAGCTATTTGATATATTTGTGTATATAAAATGCTTAGGGAATATACCCCTAGACAAGAACTATAGAACATTGTATAACTAGTGTTATATCCTGTATGTTTGTGTTGTTGGCCTTATATCCTGGGTTTCTCCCTTTTTGATCATAATTGCATAGTAATGTGTAGTTATATTGAAACTTGGCTCTTGTGCAAGGCCTGCACATGAAGATACACCTGCATGCTTACTATAGGTTAAGATGTTCAGATAAGCTGCATGATTTTATTAGGATTGGATAATGCTTGTAAAGACCACCCCTGTTTCCTGCTGACTATAACCTGTTACACAGCCTATAGCATACATATCCATACATACAGGGGATCAGTCATACCCAGCATACAGGGGATCAGTCTTGTCCTGTTCATTGGGGTTCCTCGCCATATGGTTTGGGGACTAGGAGAAATACAGAGTTCCAAATTGATAACAGACTGTGGCAAGGGAAACTCCTTACAATCACAAGCCCTCCGAAAGTTGTTTTTTATTCCCTCTTGAATTGTTAGTGATTTTGCAAATCTTTATCTATCTACAAATACTAGATATAAAGCTATATACAAGACTACTAAAGTGGAATTTTTGAAATGTCAATTTTTCTAGTTAAGCAATTTTGACCTATAATGAAGGATTCTGGATAACTTTAGTACATAATTTTATCACTGACTTGCTGCATTAGAATTTGATAACCAAGTTAACTGTATCCTAAAACCACGGACTATCAAGTTTCAACCTCTTATGGTGTTTGATAACTGGTAAACGAACACTAGATGGTGCATTGTCTCAACCTTTGAATGTTCCTTCCATCCTAGTTGCAGTTCCTTGTCCGCAGAAGCCAGTAAAGTCAAGCAATGAGTACATCAGAGCAGAAGAAGATATTTGTTACCAGGAGAATACCCCCAGAAGGCCAGAAACTCCTGTCTCAGGCTGACAGGTAGGGACCACTGGCTGTATGTGGTCACGAAGTCAGTCCTCTGAGGAAAGGTTTTGGCAGCACTGGACCTAGATCTGACAGGGTTGCCATATACATTATGACGTCTTGCACAAATGAGAAGTGATATCCTTCAGTATGTAGTACAGGTTGGGTTTTTTGTTTTTAGATAAAAGCATAATTTGTCCTCCATGCTACTTTTTTCTATTAAAGTGAAACTTGATACACTTTTGATTCTAAGGCCAGTACTGCTCAATGGAAAGCAGTGATTACTTGAATCTTTCCAGTTTGGTTACTTTAACATTCCTGTTGAATTCTTGGTTTAGTGAATAACCCTGTAAATGGCAGAGAATTAAGCAGTGACACTACAGGCATATGATCTAAACCCCTCCCAACTCCTCCTATTTTGGACCAAAATCTAGCACTTTTTTCGATGATGAGTGGATGACTTGGCTCCACCACAATACTTACAGTAATGTCTTTAACCGCAATACATGTGTCTAGAAAGCAGTCCAAGATGCACGATTTTTATTTTAAATTACATTTTAGCTGCATAAATGTTTCTGATAACAGTCCTGAACAAGCCTCCAAAATGAGTGTCCCTGTCTGGAATGTTGGCATTTATGTACTACATTCTGCACCAAAACCACTTTAGCCTAATGAAGAGAATCAACTTGAGTAATGTGTCAAGAAAAAAAACATATTTGGGCAAACCTTGGAATATCAGAGTTGGTGTATGTACACTGGCTCTGCTTAACTCATTGTACCTTCCCCTCCACCCCAACATATTACATTTTAAATATACTGTTTTGTTTTTAATGCCACATTTATTTCTCAGAATTATTGTACTGACCTTTCTGCTGTAATTTAATATCTTTAAATGAGTATATTTGAAAAATAATTTTTTTAAATGCAGAATATTGACAGGAGTGGAGTAGAGGCCCTGCTCAAATGAGCTTACAATTTAAGATAAAAGCAGCAAGATGCCTTAAATTAAGAGCTAAACAGTGGGCCTTATTTGAAAGATCTGTCTGCAGACTGTTTTATTTTTGTTTTCTCACTTCCCAATTCTAGCTACAATGTCAAGCAGTGGGATTCAGACGAGCCAATACCAAGGGATGAGCTGATTAAAGGAGTTGTTGGGGCTCATGGATTACTTTGTCTCTTGTCAGACAAGATTGACCAAGAAGTCTTGGATGCTGCTGGTATGGAGATCTCCTGCATGATCCAATGGAGCAAATGTTATTTGACTGGTGTCATGATGGCCTTTCTCATACAAGTTGCTATCACTTGTCTACAGCAGCATTTTCATGGCAATGTAAACAAAACATATGTACATAGCTTTTAATGGATTGTAGGAACACTCCAAACACCATAACTACAGCAGTTGTCTGAGCTAACCCTGCACTGCAGCATTTAGTTTAGGAGAGCTAAGGGAAGTTCCAGATCACTGTAAGATGTGAAAGGAGCAGCACTTGGTGGACATGAGGTAAATTAAACTGTTCTAAAACAGCTTAACAATGTGGATATAGCAGGCCACTTCCTTAAAGAATACAGGAACAAGTGTTGGCACTGCTTAAATTGATGGTCTAAATGAAGTGGGCTAAAACTACAGAAACTAACATGTAATCATCTTATGAGTTGTGATTCACAATTTCATTTTAAATGAAAGGACACTGAGCTAGCCTCACTCTTTAATACAAAATATATAAATGGAGGAGTGACAGATGTTGGTCCCCTCTGATTCAGTATTCACAATGTATAAAGGGGAGGCATTAAGTTGGCTGTATGTCTTTGGTTTTTTGTGACCTTGTGTAGGTCTTCATGGGTGAAAGCCAGGGTTTTAGACTGGCCTAATGACAAAGCTCCCTTAAACTCTATGAATGTTTCTACCAGACATTTCTTAACTTCATAATGTGTGTGCAACTGTTGTGGACAATATGGGGAATTGTATGACCTTAATTTCTCTCTTGCTATTGACAGGCCCTAACCTCAAAGTTGTGAGCACGCTGTCTGTTGGCTTTGACCACTTGTGTGTTGAAGAAATAAAAAAGCGGTATGTTTTCTCTATAAGGGGCATTATTTGCAAATTAAAAGAATCTTACTCCAACGTATTGATAACTTGGCCATACAACTTAAAACTTTCTATATATGCCTATCTACATAGTTTCATAGGAATAATGCACATGTAGAACTTGTCTGATCACAAAATATGAGCGCTCTGAACAGTCTGCACTAATGGGGAAGTTTAGATAGTGTTTTTTTTGTGTTTTTTTTTTTGTTTTTCATCCCTTGCATGCTCTGAGCCATCTAAAAGATTCTTTATAGCATGAGGTTGTGCTGAGCACTGCCAGGGAGCATCATCTGGTGCTGATTAAGGATTTTTTTTATTGAAGATGTTGGGGTGGCATATGGAATAATACAAAATTGTAGAAACATTTTAAGACCAGTGTTATTTCAAATTTAACCCCTTAAGGACAAGACTTCTGGAATAAAAGGGAATCATGACATGTCACACATCATGTGTCCTTAAGGGGTTTCAGGAACACAATCATGGATTCCTGATCCTATAGTGTTTAAACTTAGTCTGGTCCCCACTGCCCTCCTAAATATAGCATAATCCTGCCCTTATTCCAGTCTGCTGCTGCCTCTGCCTCATTGGTTGACAGAAGTGGTGGTGGTCTGAACGAACCACACTTATCCAGAGGATTAGCTGAGATGATCAGGGGCAGAGCCAGCACAGGTCAAACACAGGCCTGGCCAATCTGCATCTCTTAATTGATGAATTAAATCAATGCACATCTTATGAGGAACGTTTAGTGTCTGCATGCAGAGGGAGATGACAGTGCGGCTCAATGTGCAGCACTGCCCAGGAAGCACCTCTGGCAGCCATCTGAGGAGTGGCCAGTGCAGTTATCACTAGGCTGTAATGTAAACACTGCAAGTGCATTTCCTCTGAAAATAGTGTTTACAGCAAAAAGCCTGAGGGTAATGATTCCTCTCACCAGAACAAATTCAATAAGCTGTAGTTGTTTTGGTTGTCACTATATAGGTTTCCCTTGAGGCCAAAATAACCAAACTAGAGACTCTCTAAGTTGGCTATACATTCATGTTTGCTACTCTTGCCTTCAATGTGAAACCAACTATTACATGCAGTGCCAATTACTAAACTGAGAATTCAGAGCATGAAATGGTGGATAGAGGAGAAAGCTTAATGGGTTAAGTACAGAAGAGGACAAACCTTTTTGTCTTTTATGTAATCCTAGATACTGCTGAATGAAAAATCTTTTTGGAGATAATATGGATACCTTTGTTATTACAAGCATCAACTGAGTATTGACTCCATAAAGCTGAATGGACCATAATGTGGTGTCTAAAACATAATGTAACTCTATTTTTGTATTAAGTCTGGCAGGAAACACTAACTCTTATTGGGCAGCATAGCATACCCTTGGTTACTGCATGTCAAACTTAAAGGACCACTATAGGCACCCAGACCACTTCAGCTTAATGAAGTGGTCTGGGTGCCAGGTCCATCTAAGGTTAACCCTGCCTGATGTAAATATAGCAGTTTCAGAGAAACTGCTATGTTAACCTATGGGTTAATCCAGCCACGAGAGGCGCTTTTCACGGAGAAGACGCCAGCGTCCATAGGAAAGCATAGAGAATGCTTTCCTATGAGACTGGCTGCGCGCATTCAGCCAGGGATGTCAGAAGAGGGAGGAGGGAGCCCGGCACTGGAAAAAAGGGATAAACCCCTTCCTCCCCTTCAGAGCCATGGGAGTGGGGGCACCCTCAGGGTACGATAGTACTATAGTGGTCCTTTAAATCCAGCATCAAACTCTGATAGGGGTTTTTTGAAAGAAATTCCTTAGTACAGAAATATACCTTGTATGTATAACATTTACACAGACAATACATGTAAGTGATGTGATTCAATCAGACAGTGTTAAACATTCTGCATGATACTAGACTGGTGTAGGCAAATGTGACATTGGGTTCAGTGTAAACAGCTTTTTATATTATGCGGTTTTTATACAACTCATGCAGGATTCTTCAAACTTAAGGTTAAACTACTCCACAAAAGGCATGGCTGATGTGGAGAACTCTACCAATTCTGAATTTGACAGTTCTTTGGTCATTACAATTGACACTTATCAGGCTTGATCAATAAAGTAAATGTGTTTCTGCTCAGACCTCAAACAAACATGTGGTGCTCATGTCAATGGCATAGAACAAAGTGACCTTTATTTTGTAGAGGAATCCGTGTGAGCAACACACCAAATGTTTCGACTGAAGCTACAGCAGAGCTTACTGTAGCATTGCTGTTGACTACTTGCCGTCGCCTTCCAGAAGCAATAGAAGAGGTTAAAAAGTGAGTAATCAAATTTGGAACATGTAAATGGAACTCCTGATTATGCATTAAAGTAGTAAATCTTAAGTACTGTTATGAACGTGATGCTTTTGTCAAGTTAGTCTTCCCACATTGACTCTGCCTAATACACACTACATAACACGTGTATAATTAGATGGCTTAATACATACAGCAAACAGCCCACCCTTGTCCCTTATGTACTCAAGTGGGGGCACTGAAAGCAACTCATTTCATAATGGTACCTCCTTTCTTGCAAGAAAGATCTACTGTGGCAACGTTAAGTATGCAATACTTAATTAAGTGCAACTCACACTGGAGGTTTTAAGTTTAGTGGAATCCTAGAATGACTTCCTGAATCAGGAAGATGTACCTTAGCAGAATATAAACGAGTTACATATAGCTCAATTTGGAGTTGAAACTAATTTCACTGACAATTGTATCAAAACTAGATTGTTGTAGAAAAATAATTCTAGCCATGCATACTTTAGACAAACCCTACCCCTACTAGGATTATTGGCTCAATGTATAGAATTGACACTAGCTCGTCTGGAACTTTTGTTCTAGACTGGTAACAACATCCCAATGATGTCGGTAAATCTGACCTGAGGGTTAAACTTCAGTATGTGCAGCATCTTACTATGAAACAGACTTCTAGACTGACTACTTCAGATTAGTAAAGGGGTTATGGTGCTTGGTGTAATCTCCACTTCCCTAAACAGATTGTGGTTCACATCCTGGCAAGTAGAATAAAACAAGTTTCATCACAAAGAGGTGCAATGTGATTTGGCTTTATGGAGCCTTAATCACGCTTTTTTTTATATTTATAGAGTGCCATCAAATTCTGCAGCGCTTTAGTTGTAACCAGACAAGTTGGACACACAGGAACAGAGGGGTTGAGGGCCCAGCTCAATGAGCTTACATGCTAGAGGGAGTGGGGTAAAATGACACAAAAAGGTAAGGATAGTATTAGACTAGTGACAGTTGCAGAAGAGGAATCAGTCAGGAGCTATTAACAGTTTTATGAAGTGGGTTTTTACACTTTTTTTTTTTTGGGAGTCTGGGTGAGCATCTAACAGAGGAGGGATTTGAGGCTTTCCCTCTAATAAACTATTCATCCCTAGCCTTGGAGTGTTGCATGTAGTTTTTGTTCTACTTACTAGATTTGGGCAGATAGTGGTGTCTGCCATATTCCTAGAGCACCTCTTGGGTGGATGGCGAGTACATTGTGGAACCTGAGTGCAGTGTAAACTCTCGTGTGGTTCACAGCAGGTCTAGTTTGCTTTGTACACATTATTTCTCATAACTATCTTATATAACAAATATTTGTTCACTATGGCTGCTCACAACTTAAAACTGATGCACTGGTCTCTCTAATGCATTGTAGAAAATGCTCATGTATACAAAGAATCTCGTCCATAACAATGACTGACTTCAATTGACTTTTGTTTTTAAAGTGGAGGATGGAAAACGTGGTCCCCAATGTGGCTGTGTGGAGCAGGCCTTTCTAACAGCACTGTAGGAATCATCGGCTTGGGCAGAATTGGTAAACATAGTTGCTATTTTGATGGGTAGATCTGTTCTAACAAACTGTACATCTCAAGTAACTTGTCTATATCAATACAGTGACCACAAACACTGGCAGTCTAGATGTGTTGCCTTTAGTGCTCAGCTTTTTATGAAAGTTCATGTAATGTATATTGGCCCAAGCTTATTCTGGAAAATAAATGCTGCTACTTTAAAACATCCTTTCACAAACTAATCAAACAAGATCCATATCTCGGTGATAACGGGGTCCTAGTACTATTAAAATAGGGAAGGGAGCAGAGCGCACAGCCATACTAGCAAGACTCGCATCACTGCAGCTCAGAGCAAAACGGCACCACAAAGACAAACAAATCACCACTAAAAAAAACAGAACCCTCCACAGCCACAGTAAAAATAAGAAAAGCAAGCCAGACCGACCTCCATTCGGGTCTCAAAGCGCATGAGACCCGCATTGCGACCCTGGAGCAGTCTTTAGCCAAACTCAACAAGCCCGCTCCGATGAACACATGGCAGCTCTCGAGGACCAGCAGAGATTGAAGAATATCAAGGTCTGCGGCCTTCCTGATACCATGGAGATGGCAGAGTTCCTGCACTTCATCCGCCAACTGCTTACCAAGCTCTTCGCTGCCAAACAAGCAAGGCTGACACTAGACGGATGGCACCATATAACTGGACCCGCTACAAGAATACGACCAAACCAACATAATCCTCCAGTTTAAACAGGGGCAAGATCTCACAGCCTTTATGGTAGCAGTCCAACACATTACGATTCAAGGATCATGATCTCTCTGCCTGGATTTATCTAAGGCCACGTGGAATGGCAAAGATCCCTGTGTCCACTAACTCAGGCACTAGCGGCAAGCAAAAGCCATACAAATGGGGTACACCTTGCTGCCTACTCACTACCCAGCAAATGGGAACGGTGAAAGTCCGGGAGGCCTCTGAAATACCGAGCATCCTGCTCCAACTGGGAGTAACAGCCACTGAGACTGCAACCCAGTCGACATGACATCCTGGGACCCAGAGAGGGTCACTCCATTAATACCAGCAGCCCAAAGAGGGAGTCCTGCAACAAGCTGAAGACCTCCCAGCAGTTCACAAACTGCACCGGACTTAACAGTTTTTGTTTTATGTTTCTAGTTATGACCTATTGCTCCGAGCAAGTGAATGGGCTTTAACAATGCCTGACAGGCACCCTTCACAGTTACAAATGCAAATATCTCCAATTCCCCTACCCTCCCGCCCCCCACTGTCCCACAATAAGATACTGCATATATATTTTTTTATAGCTCCCATAATCCTCTCCTGCAATTAAGTTTGTCAAATGTTGGTCTGAATATAGTATCTAATGTTGCATCCTATGGAGCACTGCATAATGTCAAAATAAAACTTTAATATGGACAGCTGCAATGTTTGCTATAGCTATATAAATGTAATACTATTCTGTAAACTGCATTTTTAACTTGTAGTTTTTTTTTTTTCCTATAGGATTAGCTGTAGCACGTCGCCTTGTCCCATTTGGTGTGAAAAGGTTTCTATACACAGATTTCCAGGAAATACCGGACAATGCCAAGGAGATAAATGCTGAATATGGTAAGCATAATGCTATAATCTTACATGGGGAGGAGTATTATGGGATCACAACCATAGTGGGCTCTAGTTATGATGATTGGGCTTAGGTCCCCTGGATGCCATTCTGTAGTAACTAGTCAGAATATCTTTGTAGTTTGCTACTTATCTGGATCATGCTGCTTCCCGTCTTCACAATACGAGAAGCATTTCTCATTCTGATTTAGCAATATCTCGGCTGAGTGCCAAATTTGATTATATGGGGGTTATCTTTACCCCTAAATCGAAGTCCCTGCTATGTGCTGGGCAAAGAATGATCAATCCTCTGGGTTCTTTCTGACTAGTAGGTATATTATGGCAAGTGAGGTTGGTTTGCATATATGAGCCTTATTGTCTCCTTTCAATTGGTCAAGTCAAAATGATTGTTTAATCCTACTAGAATTTGGCTTTAAAAAGAGTACTTCAAACTATCCCTTTAAACAAATCAGCATGCATACTGTTTCTGTGTGCTTTCTTGCAAATTCTAATTTAAACCAATGGGAGGCCTTGAATTGGCTATGTCTGTGCACATAAATGGGATCAAATATATCCACTGCCTGACATTCCTCAGTGCTGTTTGAAAGCTGCAAGACGACCTTGACTAAACAGTCGTGAGTGGGGATACTTGCAGGTAAACAATTTGAAGTTAAGAGAATTTCAAATTTCATGTCAAACTAGCTAAAATGGAAACTGACTTGGAGATTTTTGAAGTCCAGAAATGTTGTCCATCAATCCTAAACTCACTTCATATTACTGACCGCTCTAACTGAAATAATTCTCACCTTGCAAAGTTCTTCAATAACAGATGTTTTCTCCTGACTTCACCATTGACTATTAAATCAATGCTATTTTTAAGGATGGCTACTATCCCGTCTATTCCCAATGATCATGTAGCATGTTTTACTGTGGCAATGACTGTATAGGTGGAATTAGAAGCATTGTCATTTTTGACTCCTTGAAATATGTAATGTTTGTGTCCAGTGTTGAAAAATCAAAACTGAACAGTCTTCTCCAATGCTCAGTAACCCTCTGCAGATGAGATGCGTGTATAGCTATTCTTTCCTTATCTGGCTTACTGTAACCCAACATTAATTTACATTGCTCTTTGTAAGGCAATATTCCAGTGGCAATAACTGTTCAGTATTGGACAACTAGCTAGAGATGCCTGCATTCTTTGAGTAGGTACTGCTTTAACTGATTCTCCAAATGGCTGATAGATTTTGGGTTTGTTCTTCCCATCTTTAGTCTCTAATGATAAGATTGCAGAAGATTCAGACTTTGTCATTGTGAATTGCTGCCTTACCCCTGAGACTGAAGGGCTCTGCAATAAAGACTTCTTTCGGAGAATGAAAAAGACAGCTATACTCATCAACACAAGTCGGTAAGTCTTTGCTCAAACTAAATATTGAAACACTATGGGGTTGAGGATTTTTCCTTTTTCTATTCTCTGGCCCTTCTGTAGTAGTAAGTCTATTTTAGTCTCCTTGTCAGGGGAAATGTCTTGTATAGACATCCCAGACTGGCATGGCTTCATAACCTCTTTTCCAGTACTATGAAGCTTCTATTGGGTACTTGTGGCTTTGTAAACTGCATTGTAGAGATTATTGTATCTTTGCCCATGGTGTATGCTCATCTAATAAAAAGGCAAATAATGGACTGGTCTTCACTTGTGACTTTGCAGGATAACATGGGCAGTTAAAACTAGTTCATTTGTTGGATTTAATGCATAATGGTGATGGCACCTGCATGAATGGGCAAACTTGCCATAAAAACTAGGATCAGTAGTCTAGTTACAAATTGCAAAAAATACACCATTTAAATGACCACAAACGAAGTACAGAAACCATCTAGTGATTGGTGAAGGTAGATGACACGGTCCATGGTTTTGGTAAAGAGATTTCAATAATAACAAAGAAAACTGATCTATCAGTACCATTTCAGATGGAAGATAAAAGGTTGAGGGAATGTTGGTAAAAAGCACTTGCAACAGTCACAGCCAAAGTCCTGAAATCCACATGTTGATTACGTTGAAGCTGTCAGACCAAATCTCTTATAAATGTTTGGGCTCCAGGCAATTCTACAGCTGTCTGTGAGACCAAGTCAGATGTTATGAGTACTGGATAGATTGCACTCTAATAGGTAGCTATTAGATGAGCCACATCAGTCTTTCTAAAGAGAACTGCTCAAAATGGCCAATATGTGTTTCAGTTCTTCTAGTAGGTGTAGCTAACCAGACTTGACACAAAAGGAGGGGAGCAAAATCTCTTGGCTTTAACCTCTCCCTCCTCCCCATCAAATGAACACTGTAAGGATAAAATAAAGCACTTCTACCCAAAATCTATGCCTTGCCAAGTGGTTACCAGGTGTTCCTACCAAGTAATCAATTGTAAAGATACCTTATTTATCCACCAGTTATACAGACTTCTAGTTTATGGTACTATGTAGTTGCATGTTTAAATATGTAACACTTTAATTGGTTAATTTTTCTATGCTTGGAATAAACAGATATTTTAGTCCAAATAAACTTGCCAATCAACATCTTGCTGTGCTTGAGTTGTGACTAGCATGTTGGATGTCTGTGGGAACATTTAGATGTAGCTTTAGGGACCTCTAAGGTTTTTTTTTTGCAAGCTTAATTTTCCATTTTTAAATGTTAGCTGTGTTTTTGTTCTGTTATTTAGAAAGTTATCGCCTGCAGCATTGGTAGGAGTCTGACAACTGACCCTTCTGTTTACCCCATGACCTTTTACTATGGAGGGTAATGAATAGTAGGTTAGTGGGGTTGAAACCCCTAGCTATATAGGATGCTCTATCACCTTGCCTTAAGACCAATAGGGCCTTCTGGTTCTAATACAGTCAAACTAAATCTGGCTTTGACACTAATTTTACTGGTCCCAAGGAAACTATTAACCAGCCATACTCCACTAGTGAGGGGTCTACAAGATCCTGAGCACACACCATCCCCATAGCATATTTCACTCTAGAAATTATATATTTTCCCTATGTCTTGCACACCAATGTAATCAGTTCTGTAGTACTTGTATCAAATATTGTAAATAACATATGTATATAAACATGAAGGTTTGTAATGTCTAAATCTGAGTATCTGGTCTATCCTTCCTTCCCAGAGGTCCTGTAGTAAACCAAGAAGATCTTCATGATGCCTTGACAAGTGGGCAGATTGCCGCTGCTGGCCTGGATGTTACAACTCCTGAACCTATTCCAACAGATCATCCCCTACTCAGCCTGAAAAACTGTGGTATGTTATTTTATATTCATAAACTTTGTATGGTTTCTTTCAAAGTGATCTAGGAGGAGGGATTTATAACCAACTCTGCAACAGTCCATCCACTAGCTTATGGAAACTTGTGTACATTTTAATTTAAAAATAAATTTTAGTTAACTTAAAAGCTGCAGGGGATTAGGTGGACATTGCTGGTATTTGAAGAAACAGTAGGACAACTCTGTAAAATAAAATCCATTAATATATAATATATTTTAATGTTGGAAGTTTTAGTTCTTCTGGTTAGGTAAGCAATAACTTCAGGTCAAGAAGGTGGAAAGCCTTTCCTCTACAGACATTGTAATGATGGATTAGAAACCATTGCATGCACTTGTGCAAAGTACACATCACATCTCCAGTTTATGATTAACATGTTCTGTTCTTCACAGTGATTTTACCCCATATTGGAAGTGCCACGCTCGATGCAAGAAATGCAATGTCTGTCCTGACCGTAAATAATCTGCTGAAAGGCCTAGCTGGAGAGCCAATGCCCTGTGAAGTAAAACTGTAACAATGCCAGGATGTCGTCAGGACAAACTTCCATCCCTAGAAAATTACTTTCAAGACGTTCTGTATGACACCATGCTCAATTAAACGTATTGGCATTATCAAAGAATTGTCTGGGTTTTATTAATTTTTGTGACAGAGGTATGCAAGTAGAACATCACTTTTTTTTTTTAACTGATTTTCTTTGATCTTTGCTATAGTATCTTCTACTAATGGTGAGGCTTTAGTTTAAACTAGTGGCACTCTTATTGCAAACATTGGTAGATTTGCTTTCTGCAGAAATGAATGAAGATGCATTCAAGTGAAGGTTTCTTCTTACATATTTAGGAATCTAACTCCTCATTGGGTTCCTGTAAAGAACTTATCTAACTGGCATCCCCTCTAACAGTCTTGACACTGTAGTCACTATGCATTTCATCTCTTTGAATTGGTTATAGTGCCTGGAGTGCTCTGGCACTGTCCCTCCATTCAGTATTGCACCATGTTCATGCAGTTTGCCACAAAATAAGAGTCCCTGGCCACCCACAGTCCGGCCCCTTCTGTATGTGTAGCTAAGGCAGAGATTAGACACTTCCTTGTTTTCAGACCCATTCATACTGTCAGTTGGAACTCTGACAGGCTAAAAGCAGTCAGCTGACACTCAGCCAATCACAGCTGTCCATTTCTGCTCAGGCTTATACTTCCTTATTAACAAAAGCAGCACAGAGGGGATGGCTTGCCGGGGACTCTTGTTTAGCATTAAAGCTTTAAAAACTGTTTAATGCTGATAGAAAAGAGGACTGGTAGACTCCAGACACTATAACCAGTTTAATGAGATGAAGCAGATACAGTGCCTACGGTGTCCCTCTAAGAGAATGGTGTGATGGAGACCATACTACTAGGTACTGAAAGGATTTTGGGAATTTGCATAAACTTGTGAAATGAATTCCATTAGAGCAACACTAATATGCATTTGATGTAAAGTCTTAATGGAGGATGCCCATGAAGTGTAAAAAGGAACCTTTTTAGCGGCTTGTTAATAAATGGTCAAGGAATGTATAGAGGTCTCAAACAATATGGGCTGTACTGAATTTCACAAGGCCACAGCCTCTGGGTGGCATGGAGGAGAGGGATGGCACTGGCAACTATTGGTGGGCCCTATATCACCATTATCGCATTTCTAGGAGTAAATGATGTGCTTGGGCAAAATCAACAGACCCTGAATTACAGGAGCATGCATGACTTTCTTTTTATTTTTTATTTTTTTTTGGTCTGCCTGTAACTGCTCTTGCAACCTCAATAGCAGTGTATGAAGAGCGAAGGTGTGCATGCTTGGGTTTGTGTATTAGGGAGACCTTTCTATGGGAAAGGAAGGGAGTAGGAGTAGAAAACGAAGTGTGGGGGTTGGTTATGAGAAGAGGAACAGGGAAGAGGGTCACAAATGCACGACCAGAACAAATCTGAGCAAAAGATAAATGAATGGGGATCAAACGCAAAACTACATCACTACATTCAAACATACCACAAATATACTCTTGCAAAAATTAATACTCTGCTTTTATATAATTTGTAGGTAGTGATGTCCCGAACAGTTCGCTGCGGACTCATCATTGAGTAAACTTTGACCCTGTACCTCACAGTCAGCAGACACATTCCAGCCAATCAGCAGCAGACCCTCCCTCCTCCTGGACAGCTCACTAAGAATGCAGCTTCACAATGGATTCTGTCCGGGAGGTGGGAGGGTCTGCTGCTGATTGGCTGGAATGTGTCTGCTGACTGTGAGGTACAGGGTCAAAGTTTACTCAATGATGAGTCTGCGGCAAACCATTTGGGACATCACTATTTGTAGGTAATTTAATTTATAGCCCAAATCACCACTTTCTTTAAAATGGGAAGTCCAAAGGAAAAACAAATTTATTGAGTGTTCTCTGCCAATGTAATGCCTCATAAAGAAGCAATGAATCATATACATATCTGTGATTCGTTCATATTTTTGCATCAAGCATGGATATCTGCTAAATGCATTAAGACCTTTAAATTGCCAGAGAAAAGGAGCATGCAAGCGTAGTCACTAAAGTGAAAACTCAAAGTGACTGTCAAAACTCAGGACAAAGTAGCAGAGTTGTAAGCACAGCTGAATAGGAGAACTAGTCATATACTGACCAATTCTCTGAATTTTTTTACTTTAGTGCATAACCCTGACAGACCATGCACAACCACTACTTCATGAAGGTTAAAGGACCACTAGAGTGCCCTGAGGGTGCCGTCCCCCTCCTGCCAGGCTCTAGGGGTTGGAAGGGGTTAAACTTGCCTTTCTCCAGCGCCGGGCAGGAGACTCTCCTCCTCGGCTGCATGCGCAGCAAGTCATGCATGCGTTCAGCCAGTCTCATAGGAAAGCATGCACTATCCTATGAACGCTGGCGTCTTCTCACTGTGACTTTCAGTAAGAAGCGCCTATAGCAGATGTCAATGAGACAGCCACTAGAGGCTGGATTAACGCTAATATAAACATAGCAGTTTCAGAGAGACTAAGTTTATAGAAAAAAGGGGTTAAACCTAGCTGGAGCAGGCACCCAGACCACTCTGTTAAGCTGAAGTGGTCTGGGTGCCTATAGTGGTCCTTTAAGTAGTTTTAGTGTCCCTTTAATTGGACGCAGTTTGTCACAATTGCACATCCTGCCACACAACTTTCATATTCACCTTGTAACCTATTTGCCTCACTTTCAAATCGCTTGCTCCTATCATCCCTGTCGCAACTTCCTCACCTACCTAATAAACATTCACACAACTTACATACTTCCATCCAGTCACAAATTGCAATTCAGCCACCTATAAACCCTAAAAGGGTCATTATCTTGCCCACCACCCAGTTTTATGCATGATCACAATTTCACAACTACTTAACCACACCCTGTCATTGCCACGCAACCACCAACATGGCAATGTTTACTATACAAATACACCTAAAGTCATATTTATCCATCTATTTGTATACGGTGGGGCAATTGACTTAGAAGCCTATGGTGGAAACAGGCACATTCTACAGGTGGCTCCTCCATTTTCATTTGTGTATCCCTTTTAAACATTTTGAAAAGTCTTTGTCACTGCAGATATGACTTTAAATGGCTACAAGAGATGTAGTTTACCAGAGCAGCAATGTACATCTTCTGTATTCACACACTACAAATGTGTGGTGTTATTACAATTAAGGACAGCAATGCCTCCAATTATTTCACATAGAATAGCAGTCTTGGATATTCAAGACTTTTTTTTTTATTCCTACTGTAAAATGATTACACTTCATGTAAAGGTTTTTTTGGTTGGTAGAATTGACTGGTATAAACAAGAGCATGGCTTTAGGTAATTAACTCATTTTATGGCAAATACCAGCCAGTAAAGATCACAGGGCTATCATGTACACATTTTGGGTATCAATATTTACTTTCTCTAGTCATCCATTGGATAGTTTTGTGTGTTTTTGTTTTTTTTGTTTTATGATCCTTTCTAAAAACAGGCCAGTTGAACAAGTCAGGCCATCTTAGTGAGGAAACACTGTTGTAATGGTGCCCAATATTGTGTAAACAAGCAAGTGTTAAGAGCTTGCTTTGACACTCTCAAAATATAAGCCGCTAGTTTTTTTTTTTTGGGGGGGGGTGTTTGGACGACTCCAGCCTTCCAAAGAGGGGGAAAAAAACCTTCACATTCTTGTGTATACAGCCTGCCAAAACCAAAAAATAAGTGTGGTGATAGAGGGCTTCTTTGTCTTGTATCATTTGATGTAAGACTACAGTACATCTGTCCAGGACCGGACTGGGAATGAAAAGCAGCCCTGAAAAAAAAAAAAAATTCTATACCAGCCTCATAATGCATCCCAAGAAGTGAGATTGATTTCTAGTGAACCCTCCTAAAGGACTAGGGGTGGCATCTTTAAGGTGATTTGGCCTTTTTCCATTCTGTGAGTGCTTCCAGTAGCGTGTTTATATACATGCCTAATACTTTATTACACTGTGTTGGTTTTTAGGTCACAACAGCTGTATCCTCACGTTTTTTTGTACATTCCTGTTTGGGCATCTGTGTGGTAAGGTTGCCGAGGGAAGCTGTCGTTAAGTTCTATATAATCTTTTGTAAACACAAATTTTACTTTTTGTGTTTTGATATTGTTTTCATAATTCATCGTGCCAGCATAGTATGTAGATGTGAAAGCAGGGGGAAAAAACAACTGAAAACTATCACGTGAAAGAAAGCACTCATAAGGCTTTAAAATAAACTAGAGCGGATTTATTGTAAGACCTGCATTTGCATATAATCGATGTTTCAGTAAAACTACCTTGACATATTAAGGAAAATTTCGTAAATTGGACAGAAATTGTGAATGTATGTTATTGCACAGCAGTAAAAAAAATGTTGTTGTGCTTATTTTGAAGTAACAAGAGTGTGCTCTTTACTTTGGCTAACAACTGGATGATCTCAGTCAGAGCCAATTTAATTCCCATAGGAAAGCATTGGGAGACTATTGCGCATGTGTGGCAAAACACTGCGCATCATCGCACCAATCTGCATCTCCTCATAGAGATGCATTGCATTGACGTCTTTCAGGTTATTTGATTTTATCTACTTGATAAAGCCTTGCAAGGCGAAACGCGTTGTAGATATATTTTATATATTTTTGTACGAATAAAGGAATTTAATACTCTCTACCTGGCATCCTGATTTCAGCATCCCAAGTGAGGACTAAAGAATCCTAGGTGGGGAATGTACCACCAACACCCTATTCATTGAGCAGTAAGTCTGCTCAAAGAAATGAGTACATCTCCTCTACAGGATATTTTTAATTTATCTGATAGTGAGCACTAGATTTATAATTTTTTACTTTCTCGGTTTGGAATTGTCAACATTGAAAAATTTGGAAAAATTATCTACCACACATCCTAGGAGTGGGGATCGTTCCACTTCACGCTATACACACCAGAGCTGGACATAGCTCTAGTAAATGTGAGTAGAATTAAACCCATACAGTACTATATACATACCTTATTATATACTGTACCATTGGAGCCTCTCTTCTTTGTTTTGCATGACCTCTGGAATT